GTGATAGAAAAAGATAAATAAATTTTGTAGCAAAAATGGTGATAGTGAACAAACCATTGATTGATGCTAACAATAAGTAAATACTAGACCCACAATCACAAATTTTAAACGATAGTAGTGACAGTGAATTACTGATAATACCAAATATGAACATTATCGAAAAAATAGCTAAACTTAGTTTTTAAAATTCAAGAGCATAACCAGAAACGACGAAAAACGACGCGAATATATGATATATCTTGACCGGCCCCGGCCAGTCATATATTTTCCTAGTGTGGAAGTGTAAAAGCCTGACGACGGATGAGTGCTAAGATGAGCGCTTCTGGAAAAACGTCCATAGCTCTGGACCCATGAATTTTCTAGATGTCTCTTAGATCCAGTTTTGTAGAGGACAGTTAGGACTATATAAGTATGAAGACAAATCCATAGATTTCTATGTTAGCTTCAGAGAACCGAACTGGTTTTCTGTAGATGTCCAGAAAAACCGATTTCTGCAATTTTTCCAAACTCCTTTTTGCTAATGAAAACACAGCCTCAGATCTTGGCTAGCGAAAGATGAAAAGCGCAAGTCTCTATCTTTTATTCCTATTGAGTTATTTAAAAAATAACGACCGGCCTTTATTTTAGCGCCGATAATGATGCAACAAACATTAAAAAAGAAAGAAAAACAACCGGAATACTCACGTAGCAGAGATTAACAGTCCTGCTCTCCAAGACTGTTGACAAAAAAGACAAAATCAAACTAACTTTCATAATCTGAAACATGAAAAGCTTTGTTTTACTTAGCTCAGCAAATTCGTTTTCGACAAAGTACTGATTTTTCAGATAAAAAAATGTTTTTTCTCGATCGGCCGGTCAGATTAATTTTCTTTCGGCCGGCCGACCGGCTCCGGTTACATCTCTACTAAGCTAACGAAACGTGGATTACTTACTAAGGAAATGTTCTGTTTTCGAAAGACTTTTAAAATTTTCAGGCTGAAACACAGTTTCTGTGGCTCACAATGGAAAATTGCTCACATTTTGGATTTGAATATTATCGAAGCAGACTGCCACAGTCAAAGGATCGAAGGAATCAAAGGTGAACTGCACTTGTTTTTATTTATGTCAGGGGCAAAATCGCCTGACGATGATTCTCTAAAATATTGTACCATTTAAAATCGCATATGTGTTCAAGACATTCAATTGTTTCCTTTGTTGATTGGTTTGCTTTTTGACAAATACCAGAGTTCATTTCAGCATGCGCCGGACTCAACAAGCTATCTTCGATATTCTCCATGTCTAATGAGACAGCCATTGATTTTTCCGATGTTTTACTCAATAATTGCGAAATTTCATCCGTATGACGTGACATATCATCTAAACCAGCCGAAATACATTCTAAATATTTTTGTGCTGTCTCTTGATATTTTCGAAATTTTCGTCGTCGAATAAATTGAATAAGAGCCAAAATACCACCAATGCTAATGGCTCCTACGCCAATCATTATAAATACAGCACCAACCGGCGGAAACGCGGATCCTGCAATAACTAATGCGCCTGCACTACCAAGAGCCGTTCCACCAATAGCACCACCGGCTACACTTCCTCCTATTGCACCGCCTACCGCGCCACCTATAGTACCCACGGTAAGGAAATGCATCCGTTTATCAGTAACATTCTTCTTTTCTTCCACTTTGTTATGTAATAAATGTATTTTCGTTTTTAATAGTGATATTTCATTTCTTTTACTTTGAGCTCTATAATGAAAATCACGTGCTCTATCACCTAATCGCCTTACAGATATTTTGATTGCAATAATTTTTCCATTATCCAACGTTTCAACCGCCCCAGGTGTATCTGTGCTAAATGATGATAGAATTTTCTGAATTAATCCTAAATGGTTTGATACTTGTTTCAATAACGGAAGTAAGACAGCAGCTTCGCGTTGAATTTCAACGACTTCATCGATAAATTTACGTAGTATTTGATCAAATGCCGAAGCAATATCTTTAAATTCTTTTGTTTCTTTTTCTATTTCTCTCGCAAGTTGTTGAGTAATATTTATCATTTTAAGATAATGTTTGAACCGGGTTGTAAATCGTGTCGATGCATAATGTGTTGCGGAAGCTATTAAATCAATAAATAAGATTGTTTGCGGATCATCAGCTAGACCATAAGTACCAGCAACTTGCTTTAGATCCTCGATGGCTTCGGCTTGCATTGTGCCCATGTCCATATCATTCCACTCGTGTTGAACTACAACAAGTTGTTGCGATAGATCGGTAAATGTCTCGACGTTATCATCCATTTGTCTATTGAATAATTTAGTTGTAATATTGAATTATCGAACAAACAAGGGCTGTTCGGTTATTTTCTGTTAAATAACAACAATAATGAAGGTGTATATACTTTTTACATTTTTTGGTTTGTGTTGATTCAAGGTAACAAGTCTATGCTCCATTTATGCCTTCATTATTAGTCATCAGCTATCTTTTATCAGTTGCATGTTTTCCATATATGTAATTTAGAGAAATAAACACAAAAATGATACGTTTATCATACAATTTATATGATTCATATGCTTCATCAATAATTCTGAAGAATATCTGATATGTAAGAATTGATAGTAGTACTTGATGGCGAGTCAGCACAACAAAAGTCTCGTTTAAATCGTACTCAACATACGCCAGCAACTTGTCGTACTCGAATATACATGAGCATCATACGATAGATGTGCAAACGTTCTAAATTTGATGATACTATCATCCATACAGACTGAAACCCGATCAGAGCTGTCATATCGAAAGGTACCGAATATGGAACTTTTATGTGTTTTATGCACAAAATTATGAATCCAAAAAGTGCTTATGAGCCATTAAAGCTAAGCCACGACCTAACGTGCTCAATCGACCATCTCAGATTTGTTCCAACATAGGAGGCTTCTTTAGAGCAAACATTTTCATATGAATTTCGGCGAAAACTAAGTACTAAGGTTGTTGTGTTGCGGAGATATTCAGTTTTTACGAAAAGCCCCCAAAACGAATATTCCGGCATCTTGAAAAATTGTCAACTTAAACTACGTGTGACTTTGTAATGACATATGACTTA